GCAATTGGTAAAGCCGCTAACCACAATCCGCAACCGAACCACCTAAACGCACAGACAACGCGAGTGCCTGGCAGCCAATCGTCCCACACCACCCCAGGTAGCAACAACAACCACATCAGGAGGTAAGAGTTTTCAGGATCAAAGCCATCCCTACCGAGGCAGGGAGGAGACACCTGACTGAACCACCGTAAATGCCACAAGGACAAAACTTCCAAGAAAACAGTGACAAACAACATCGTAGGATTCCGACTGTAGAAACGTAATGTAATAAAGAGGGGCTGGGCAGGTACTGCCCTACTACCTGAGGAATGATGCGGCTAGTACGACGAGTTAAACTTGGGAAGGTCATCAGTCTAACCTAAGGGTATTTTGTATCATGAGAACTAAGGGCTCTGCTAAAACCCAACATCATGAGCTGGCCTAAAGAACAACACGGGTGATCCCTCTAAACAGCATGTTCTATTCCTCCCAATCGAATGCGAAACCTACGAGTAGACAATAAACAGGAAGCTGAATACATTTTACTGAAAGGGGCTCATAAGCGACTATAATGAAGTGCTCAAAGTAACAGTATCGTGAGAAACCATCAAGCGACGAAACGAGAAGCAAACAAGTAATCCATTACACAATGCCAAGAGACCTCAATACTAAGAACCCCAGGAACTACTAAGCAAACTCAGATATCTCCCCCATAATCCAAGGTATCAGGGCCCATTATGGGTGTGAAAGAAACGCTCGAGGCAAAGCGACGGCAAGGACAAGGAAAAGTACTTAGAACAAAGCGTGAAGAACCTATCTTCCTCGGCCGCTTTGGCCTCCTTATATAGTGTTATTCCCACCCTTAGTCATGCAACCTAAAGTGGTCACATGTGCGAAACCAAATCATAACAAACTAGTTATATAACCAAAGTGGTCACATGCTCAAAACCTATGACCTCATAGCGAGGTCATATGCTAAAACTCATAAACTGATCATAACACAATAAACAAGTCACACTACTCAAATGAGCTATATGTGCGAAACCCATAACCTCATAACGAAGTCATGTGCTAAACATAAATCATATGCGCAAGGCATACCCGCAAGGCACACTTGCAAGGCATACTCGCCAGGTGCATGTCCCATGACTCATATTTGAGCCATGTGCGAAACATAACAAATCATATAACTCAAATGAGTCATATGTGTGAAACAATAACATACCTGTGACTCATAACCATGCGTTACGTGAAAACCTTTTCCTTGCCCAACCACATTCGTGATACTGAGCTACAAGTAGGATAATAGTATACATAAATATATATAGTATTATGAAAAGATTGCAGTTAAAGTTAAAGATAAAAATATAGTTGTAAAGTTAAGTTTAGCCTTCAGATTATGAATAATACCGATAAAAGAGCTGCAGTTATAATCCTCAATGAATACAAAATAGTATAATAATTATTATAGAAGAACTTGACAAGTCAATACTAATGTGATTGGAGTCAAAATATATAAAGATAGAAACAGTAGAAATGATAAGATGATAACTTAACAATTACAAGCATAGCAAAGAACAAGAATGAGAAGTTAAAACTGCATTACAACTATTATAAAAAATACTCAATTAATAGCTATTACAAGACTGTTTAGATCATAGTTCACATTTCAAATATCTCTTTAGATATCCTGTTGTTGTATGTAAAATTTTATAAATTTTAATTTAATTGTTCAAGTATACAAAATCTAAAATAAAGTATAAACCTATAGTGTAGTTAAAATAATTTGAAAAAATATTCATTAAATAGTTATTTGAAGGCTCCTTAAGTGGTTAACATTTCAAATGTGCCTTTTGAAAACCTGTTATAGTATATCAGTTTTTGTAAAATGTATTATATTTTGTCAAGTATATCAACCCTAACATAAAGTATAGAATAATGGAAAGAATAATTTAAAAAAAATATTCATTGAAGTGCTGTTGGAAGACCTCTTAAGTAGCTAAAGTTTCAAATACTCCTTTTGAAATCCTGTTGTAGTATATCAGATTTTGTGAATTGTGTTCTAATTTTACAAGTATATGAAGTATAGTATATAGTATAAACTAATAGTTAAAATCTTCTTTATTAAATGGAGGGTGGGTTATGAAAGTTATCATAAAGATATACAATTTTGAATATTTTAAGCTAACACTGTATGGATATGTCACAAATTCCCGTGAAAACACATACAATTATAATTAATACTTTTGGCTATTACACTTTACAAGAAACAGTATTTGAAATCTGGTAAAATTTTGGCCCATGTGGTTCCCACACTGGTACTAACTCGTAGACCAAAACTTCTAGAACAACTCCCCCATGCAAGGGACCCACCCACCCAAAAACAAAGTGTCAACCTCCCACCACCACAAGATATCATCTAGACTACAAGCCCTACCAGGCACCCTATGATACACCACTCCACACACCCACGATAAGGCACGACACGAAACGATACAATCAGATAACTCACCCCCACCTGCCCCCCCCCCGTCCGCCCATGCCGTGCTTCTGATTAACTATGCCTTACATAACCGGCCGGCCGGCCCCCAACAAGATGTGCAGGGCGAATAGGGGGTTTTTTTCTTCTTCTTCTTCTTCTCCCAGATCAGATCCGATGTTTCATCGGCGTCGACGTCAATCTTGCTTTTCTGCTTGCGATTGATTGATTGATCGATTGATTGGCAGTTGGGACGTGCTATTGGGGAAAAAAGGAAAAGGAAAAAAGCAATGATGAGGTATGTCAGCAATGGTGTCTTTCTTTCTTTCTTTTTTCTTTCTTTCGACAGGAGATGGAGGAGGAGTGGAATTCGGAAGACGCCGATGGGAGGAAGGAAGGGTTTTTCATTGCTCGCCTTTCTTTCGGCTCTCTGCGCGCGGTCGATGGGCTGACTGGATGACAACAAGTCGGTGGTTTGTTGGTCTTGGTAGAGTGTGTCATGATACTGTATTGGTTCCAGTACGGTACCGTAGCAGAAGCGATTGCTTCTTCTTATGATAGATCCGACTTTGTTCCCGTGCCATGATGCCGGTAACGTACAAATATCGGATGAATCGAAACTATCTCCCACTCCCATCTCGCGTATCAGCCCCGTGCGCCGCACGCTTTTAACTTGGCCGAACTGTACTGTACAGTACCCTATCATACTCGAGCATGATACCATTTCAAATCACCGTTTTACCGTACCGACAACGTGCTCGGACAATCCTCTTAAGCCCATTTCCCCCACAGACCATCCTTCTGTTCATCCAGTGCAACGGGGCACTGAGGAAAGAGAGGAGGCTTTTTCCCTACTGTAATACCGGTACTGTCGTAGGAAAATGTCGAGTTTTGATAAGAGTTATAAAGCGGTTAACAGGACAATGTCGCAAACATTTATTACTAAACACCGTTAATAACCCATCATTAGTAAGCGAAATGAATGTCGTTGTCCCCTCCCCCCACCATGCCTCACACCGTTCCTTCCTTTTCCCAATTCACCAAGCGCCGGGGTCTTGCCTGTCTTGTCTTGTCCGCCCGTCATATCACATCACATCACATCATATCATCACCTCAACCTTCCCCCCCCAAAAAAAACCCCCAACCCACGTGTTTTTTTTTTTGTCCCATTCTAGAAAAAAATAAAAAAAAAATTCTCCTCGACGAATCATAATATTATAATAATATTATGATAGTACACGTACAATACTCGTATCATACGATGAACGCGTAAAAACCTAACTCAGCGCCACCGCCACAGGTACTCGTATACACACGTACGAGTATAATATCATACGGTAGTCTATGTATCATAACGGTTTTTAACAAAGAAAGGTGACAAACCCTCAACCCTACCTCAACTTACCGGTATTATTAATGCCAAATCGCCGATGTGAACACCCAGAAGCCACACACGCACACATCCTTACAAGAAAGAAAGAAAGAAAGAAAGAAAGAAAAAAAAAAAAATCTTACAACTACGTCATACCCGAAGATCTCCCCATCCATATCATCCATTCCAACCCATCATCCCCCCTTCTTCCTTCGCGAAACCGACCGGAACCAGACCAGATAAAGACACAAACCGTGACACGGTATTTACGGTACCGATGGTATAAAAACTTTATTTTGCAAAAAAAAAAAAAAAAAAAAAAAAAAAAAAAAAACCTCAACTGCAAAAGTAAAATCATCCCATCGCACAAAAACGCAAGCGGGGGAAATCCGTCTGCTCCGAAGTAACCGTACTATACCGTAGTTACTCGTACCGTCCGGAAAGAAAAAGGGAGGGAGGGAAGACTGCATGACGTCCGTTGCCAAGACTTGAAGGATATTTTTTTTCTCTTCTTTATTCTTCTTCCTTCTTCCCCGCTCCGGTACGAAGAGCATAGCACTTTGTAACTTGGAATTGGATGTATCGTACGGTTACCTTACGGTACTCGAGTATCATATACGAGTATGATACTATTCGCGGGGGTGGGGATGGGGGGCAGAGCGGGGGGGGAGAAGAGATTTTTTTTGTCAACCCACTTCGCTTTCTTCCCCTCCTCCTTTTCCATCTTCCCACCGACGACGGAGCCAAGCACGGGAAGTTAATTGGTCGGTAAACTACCGGTACCGTATCGTACGTACTACCGTATTATCACTTTTTAAATTTATTCCTTCTCTGCGCACCACCACCGGACCGGACCGTACGTACGAGTACTCGTACGGTCGGTGCTAAGTTAGTCTAGATAATTTGTAGCCTTATCTTACAGCTTCGCACGAGTACGTATACCGTGCTGTACGAGTACAGTAGTCTACTGCCCAATTCTAACTTCTACCATTCCATGGCGCGATATTCCCACCAGGCTAGGCGGGCAATGTGTAGTAGTCTACTCCTACAGGTCAGGCGGAAGTAATGGTCCAGGTATTGTAATGTTTATGATGGACGATACGAGTAGACGGAGAACTGCAGGCAGCGGATACCCCTCTTTCTATTATTTCACGAGATCCTGATACCATTCAACACGATACCATACGCTTGTATACACAAGTTAAATACAATGCTTCCTTTCCCCAATTCCCTACAGTTATCCTTTCAGGCCCGCTTTCACCTGAGCAGTAAAAGTTTCAAATATGTGACACCATTCACCATCACCATCACCATCACCACCGACCACCGACCACCACCACCACCATTCATCGCTCAGGATGGATTGAAAAGAGGAGAGAAGAAAAGTATATAAAAAAGAAGATTGCCCCCGGGAAACAAAGGAGATGGAAGACGATATAGAAGAAAAAAGACCCAACCCGTAAAATCGATGAAAATAAAACGCTATTGTGAAAAGAATGCGAGGAGAATGAATGAGATCACTTTTCTGGGAAGTGATTGAAAAGGAATCCATCAGACATCCATCCGTTCCCTAGTCGTTGAACGATAGACACGAATTGAAGTGAAGTGTAGCGATTAAGGGGAGAAAAAATGGAAAGAAAAAAAAAGAGACCCAAATCAAAAAATGCAAAAACACCAAAAAAAAAAAAAAAAAAACACGCCATCGCCAAAGTTAGAATCAAAAAGAAAAGTGGAGAGTAAGAATGAACAGTTAGAAATTTATATCCGATCCCCTTGCCCCTGTCACCTCATTTGCTCCT